ACGCAGGTAGGGCCTGGCCCCGGAGGAAGGGGAGGGAGGGACCGGGGAAGACCAGAGACAAGGACACGGGAGGCCATGCCTCGGAGACGAAGCAGGGAGGGGTGACCAAGGCGGTGGTGCCAGAGGAGAGTCTCGTGCGACAGGAGGCGACACGAACAGGGGGCAGACTCAGGACCAGACCTGGACGCTGCAGCAAACACCTGACCCGACGCAGCTACCTGACCAGACGCAGTGACTGGAGGAGACGCAGTGGTCAGTGTGTACAGGCTCGACCCCGGCCGACGTGTAAACGTGGCCAGGTGTCGGCCTGTCCGAGCGTCCGTGCAGTGGGTCACCCGCTGACTCGCAGGAGTGAACTGGTGAACCCCCGCATCCTGGAGGTCAGCACCACTCACCAAGTTCGAAGAGAACGAGGGGAGGTAAAGACCAGACAGGGTGCCAGAGGGGGCCGCCGAACACGGGAGGACAGTGGAGAAGTGAGCAAAGACAGGACCCCCAGAGGGGTCTGCCAGAGAGACTGCAACTGGCCGGCCAAGCGGCGTGAGTGTGGTGCGGTCTCGAAAGAAGGAGCGAGAAGCCCCCGAGTCAAGGGTGAAGGTGTGGGAGGCCGAAGCCGATGCAGTACCTGAGAGAGCAGACTCACCAGCACCTGAGGGAGCAGACACACGAGCACCTAGAGCAGCAGCCTCGCTAGCACCTAGAGCAGCAGCCTCACCAGTACCTAGAGCAGCAGTCTCAATGCCCGGGTCGGGCGGAAAACACCGGTAACAGTCACCCTCATCACTAATAGTCACAGCATACATGGCAGCAAGAATAGCATCAAAGTCAAGGTCAAAGACAGCTACACCCGCCCTAGACAGCTCGCCCCAGCGGGGGATCTCAGTGGCCTCAGGGAACTGGTGACACCAAGCGTCCGTCAGGCGGCCAAAGCAGCGCTGGGTGGAGTGCGCACCCCCGCACTGCTCACCCGCGCGGTCGCCGGTGCATAGGACGTAGGTGCACGGACCAGTACCCCCACCCCGCTGGCGTGCAGCGTACCATTCACGGAGCTGCTGAGGGGGGGGGATGTCACGAGTGCGCTGCTGCCGCTGCTGCTGCTGCTGCTGGCGCTGACCACCACCGGAGCCGACCCTCTGCGCAGCGCCACCCCGACCAGCTCCACCTCCTCCGCCGCCGCCTCCTCCACCGCCGCCACCTCCGCCACCTCCGCTCCCACTGCCACCGCCGCCGCCGCCTCCGCCTCCACTGCCGCCACCGACACCTCCACCCCCGCCACCACTCCCACCACCACCCCCACCCCCTCCACTGCCTCCACCACCACCTCCGCCACCCCCGCCAACCCCTCCAGCACCCTTGCCCCCCTTGCCCTTGCCGGTGCGGCGTCTCCCGCTCGGGGCAGACGCAGCGCCGACCGACTCGAAACCAACGAGGTCGGCCGCAGCAGCAGAGGCAACAGAGGGCAAAAGGGGGGAGGGGGAACACCCCTCAAAGACGGGGGTGCGAGGGTCACCACGAGAGGCTCCTACAGCGACTATGCTCTTCTCTGCTGCTAGGAGGGCCTTCTCGAGGAGGTCAACGGTGAGAGTGGTGGGCCAAACTGAGAGGAAGTGGTCCCTGACTACGCGAAGGGAGTCAGGGAGCCGGGTGACTATGTAGTAGAGGGTGATGTACATGGGGGGGGGGGTTCTTGGCGCAGAATTCAGCAGGAAGCGCAGCGCGGTAGCGAGTGTCACTAGTGCGGAGGTGCGTAATGAGGTCAGCGACTGTGGGAAAGGCAGCAAGGTCAGGGAAGAGGTACGGTAGCATGAGGCGGCTCAGTGCAGCAGTGGCAGGGGAGGAGTAGCGCGCAACTACAGCATCGTACAAGGTCTGAGCACTCTTGTACTGGCTAAAGTGCGCACGCTCAGAGGTAGGCAGGTGGCGACGCACAGCAAGACGTGCAGCAGCATCGCGTGTGGCCCACTGTGAGCGAACAGTGGCGTCGGCATCAGCAGCAGGGGCAGGAGAGGCACCAGAGGTGAGGTCAAAGAGGGAGAGACCGTCTGCCCTATCGCACTGTAGGAAAAGCTGCAGGTCATCTACCCAGACGTCAAAGTCAATGGCCCGACCCTCAGCGTCAAAAGCGAGGACACTAGGGGTAGCCATGACAGCAGTAGACTAGCAGCGCGAACAGTAGGGTAAGGGCAGGGCAGTGACACAGGCGCTGCTCTTACCGGACAGGGCGGCTCGGGCGGCTCGGCGGCTCGGCAGTACGGCGGCTCGGCAGCAACTGCGGCTCGGCGACTCGGCGACTCGGGCAGCTCGGGCGGCTCGGCGGTACGGCGTCGCGGCAGCAACTGCAGCTCGGCGGCTCGGCGACCCGGCGGCTCGGGCGGCTCAGGTGGCGCGGCGGCTCGGGCGGCTCGGGTGGATCGGGCGGCTCGTCAGTAGCTCGGCGGCGCCGGCGGCTCGGTGGTGACGGCGGGGCCGCGTGGGGACGGCGGCGGGGCCGGGTGGAGCGGCGGCGAGGCCAGGTGGAGCGGCGTCGGGGCCGGGTGGAGCGGCGTCGGGGCCAGTAGAGGCGGCGCCGGGGCCGGGAAGGGCAGCTCCGGGGCCGCAGGGGTAGGCGACGGGGCCAGCAGAGGCGGCGCCGAGGCAGGGAAGGGCGGCGCCGGGGCCGCAGGGGTAGGCGACGGGGCCGCGAGGGCGGCTAGGAGGGGAGGGGTCGCGAGGGCGGCTTGAAGAGGCCGCGAGGGCGGCTAGAAAGGGCCGCGAGGGCGGCGTGAAAGGGCCGCGAGGGCGGCGCGACACGAAGGAGCCGCGAGGGCGGCGGATCGGGGCCGCGAGGGCGGCGCGACGCGGCCGCTAGGGCGGCGCGACGTGAAGGGGCCGCGAGGGCGACGCGACGGGGCCGCAAGCGCGACGCGACGGGGCCGCTAAGGCGGCGCGACAGGGTCGAGAGAGGGGAGCGCGACTCGGGCAGTGGAGAGCGCGCTCCGGGCAGGAAAAAAAATGTGGTGGGCCCTAGGAACAGTTCCCACAGGGGAACCTGCTCGATACCATGAGAAACTGAACGAGAATGAATTGACTAAGGGAAAGTTGGGTACAAATGTAAACCCTAGAAAACTGTACCCCATATGTGCTACCCCACTATAGCCTACAGTAGCTATGTCATATAAATCTGACAAAAACGAATGTTCTACGGCTGAGAGCCGAACCCGTATGAATATGAGTGGATGAGCTGTTGCGTACCTACCACTACTGGAAACAATATTCGCAAAGCGTCACGGGGTGCGATAATCACGAACAATGAAAGAATGAGGTAGCTCTGAACTCCCAACATAAGTGAGGGTACATTCCGCTCAAAACAAGCCGGTAAATAAGAAAAGTGTTGGGATAAGGTTTCCCGAACCGACCGACCAACTCCCAGACCAAATCCCGAAGACATTCTCGGCGAATCAAAACTAGCGGAACATTCTAAGCGGGTTGATTATTTTGGGCCCCTTTGTGTCTGCTTTCTGGTGGGAAAGCACTGTGTGTCGGATCGGAACCGAACCGCAGTCGTGTATCGAAACAAAGAGTTTCTGTGAAATGGAGAACTGGATCTGTGGTAGGCTGTGTGCACGCTGGTAAATAGGGTTCAATGCGGTGATAGAAACAAGCCACTCTAAATCTTGCAAAATTTTTGTAAACCGTCTAAAATGAAATGAAATTCAACCAGGCTTGATTATTTTGATTATTCTTATATATTATTTATTTTATTATTTTAAATATAATTTATCTTGTGCCAATATCCCGTTGTCAAATAATTATTTTATTCACTAAATAACACCTGACCGTTCTCTTTTCACAATTGAGTTCAGCCGTTAGCGAAGCAACATGTTGCTCTAGTCTTTTGTGGGGCACAACTCGGGAGGAAATGACGGAGCGCCGTGTTTTCTAGTTTCCAATTCCGATGGGCAGTGCTTTTGACAGCAGATCGCTCCGCCCTCGCATCCAATACCTTGGGGCATAATATTTATCCGTTTCCCCTTTTGAGTCCACAAATGTAGATTGTTTCTATGTTACGGGAGATTAAAATTTATTCGTCGAGTCCATAGCAAATGCGCAGCTCGAGAAAAAAAAAAAAAACCCTCATGGATGGTATGCCACGTAAGTGTTTAGGGCTGATGCCTCCCAAATGGCTTGTCATCCGAGAGTTTTAGTTATGCCTCTATACTGAAACCAGGTAGACTTAGTATTTTTCCTTCTATACGTCTGGTCACGAAAAATGGGAGATTGCAATAAAAACTGCCCGCGGGAATTGGGCGCGAGCGCAAAGGGAGTCGCTGTCAAAGCCACTGCCGAAAGGAATCGAAAACGCGCAAACACGGCGGTCCGTCATTTCCTCCACAACTCGGCCATCTGAAACTGCTGCTGCTGCACGCCTTCTTCTCCCACCATCATCGTTCTGGCTAGGTTTTACAAATCGCTCTTGGACCGTCGCGCAGGGTTCAATGCGTGCTGCTGGAATGGTGAGCGAAACCTTCCAGATGGCACATGTGCATAGGGCTGTCAGCTGAATTTCCCTTCTTTTTGCTGCAAGCCCCTCCCCCGTGCTGCGTGCGCATGTAGGTGTGCAAGCTCTGGCCGCTCTGAAACGCGGGGCTGGGGAGCTCGACAGATGAGGGCCGCCGCAGTGCTCGCGTGCAGCACGCCGCATGTCGTCCCTCCCACGGAGCTCGCACCGATCACTCCCAGCATCACCCGCGTTCCGTTGGGCGAGGATCTAGCGCAGTTGCTTGTTTCTTCCGCGCAACAGCGAGCCACCGCCACCTTGCCCACCGCGCAATCGGCTAAGCCCTGACGTGCCGCACCGCGCAGCGCAGCGCCGCCACAGCGTGCGCGTTCCGATGCGTGCATGAGCCCAATCTAGCGCAGCTTTGTCTTCGCTTCGCCGCCTCCTTCGGGCCCTCCCTCGCAAATCCGCGCGCCGTTGAAGGTCGTGGGAAGTTCGTGGCCCCCCCCTCGCGAATCAAGCGATGCGGAGTCCCTCCTCGTCTCGCACCCGCCGCCGCCTCTTCGCCTCGCTCACTCTCTTCGTGCCGATTTTCCTCGTCCTCGCCACGTGTTCGCGCCTTTCCCTGCCACGTGTGCGCTTCTCACTGCGCCTCGAATGGCCCGACGGCCGCCCGTATCATAACGTCAGCAGCGGCCTCCCTGAGAGTGGCCATGTGGCGGCGAGCGCGAGTCGTCGGCGGGACCTCGCGGAGATTCCGTCCGCCGCACCCCCGCCGCTACTACCTCCTCCCGTGTGCGAGTGCCCCGCGTGCCCCGCCAGCGACAGTGGCCCTGGCGACAGTGGGCTGGGGGAAGAGGGTTCGAGAAGCAGTGGTGGAGCAGGGAGCAACGGAGCGGAGGGGGGAGGCGAGGCGGAGGCGACGTGGGGCGAGAACCACGCGTTCCGAGTGCATCCGACGAGCATCAGCCTGTTCGCCGTCGTCAGCACTTACCGCACCGACGAAGCTAGGTGAGGCAAGGCAAGGTGCTGCTGCTTGTGGGATGACAGGTGAGGCGCGCTGAGCGCAGACGAGCCTCAACCTGTTCGCCGTTGTCAGCATATACCGCACTGGCGAGGACAGGTAGGGCAAGGCAAGGTCAGGTGAGGCACCGGCGAGGCCAGGTGGGGCCAAGGCACACAACAACAGGTGTGGGCCGACAGGTGAGGTGCGCTGAGCGTGCAGACGAGTCTCAACCTGCTAGCGCCGTGCTAGCGCCGTGCTAGCGCTGTGCAGACGAGCCTCAAGCTGGTTGGAATGAAAGGTATTGGTCACCTTGCTAGCGCCGTGCAGACGAGCCTCCATTCTCCTCTCAAGAACCCCTTATCCCTCTGTGCCTCGCACACCACCCCGCACCTTCCCGTCTGCTTCTGTTCGTGCCATCCCACACCACCCGTTGTTGAAATCAAAGGGAAAGATAACATACACGTGTGCATGCACGCACGCTCACCCCCACCTCCCCCCCATCTACCCCCCCCACATACACTATGTTTCCATCAAATGTTCCACGTCGCTTTACTTGCCCTCGCATGTGCGTGGTCAGCTTCATGGTGGCGGCATTTTTTTTTTTCTATTTTTTTCTTCTCTTTTTACTGTTGGCGGCTCAGCTGCACTTCGAGCCATTGAACCCATCTTAACAGTTACGTTGGATAATAAAAACATCCACGTTGCCCTCCCTCCCCTCCCTCCCATGCGTTGCCCTCCCCTTCTCCCATGTGTTGCCCTCCCCTCCCCCCCATGTGTTGCCCTCCCCTCCCATCCCATGCATGGGCAGCTTCATGGTGGTGGGCGAGTTGCTGCCGGGCGCACAGCTGCACTTCAAACCATTCAAACCATCTCACCCGTTACTTTGGAATATCAAACCTTCCCTCCTTCCCCTCACTCCCATTCCCATGTGTGCTGTTGCTGCTCAGCTTCATGGTGGTGGGCGAGTTGCTGCTGGGTGCGCGCGTACATACATTATTATCTGTGAAACAATCCTCGTTGCTCTCCCTCCCCTCCCATGTGTGCTCTGTGCTGCTCTCCAGCTTCATGGTGGTGGGCGAGTCGCTGCTGGGCGCACAGCTGCACTTTGCTGGCGCGCTTGTGGACGAGTGCGTGTGGCAGGGCGCGGGGGAAGGTGACGGGGGAGAGAAGGAGCCTCTGATCGTTGCTCCTGCAGAGACCTTGCATGTGAGTGGCATATGAGTGGCATGTGAGTGGCATGCGAGTGGCATGTGAGTGGCATGGATGCATGTGAGTGGCATGGATGCATGTGAGTGGCATGGATGCATGTGAGTGGCATGGATGCATGTGAGTGGCATGGATGCATGTGAGTGGCATGGGCATGCATGTGAGTCGCTGCTGGGCGCACAGATGCAATTTGCTGGCGCGCTGGTAGACGAGTGTGCGTGGCAGGGCGAGGGGGAGGGGGAAGGGGGAGAAAAGGGACCTTCAGTTGTTGCTTCAACAGAGACCTTGCATGTGAGTGGCATGGGCATCCAAGACAAGGACGGAGGGCGATGCGTTTGTCTGGCAGACAAAAAGGGTCGTTTCTAGCAGAAGGGCAACAGAGTGATCGACCCATTCAAGAGGTGTCGACCGATCTGGTAGCGGAATGGGTGACCAGCAGAATTCACGGCTGGTGGCGTAGTGTTTTTTTTTGTCCATGCGTAGAAACAGCCTGCCTCCAAAAAACAACATGCTACCAAGAAAAAGCAGAGAAAGGTTGGTGTTTGGTACATTGATGATTTTTGTTCGTTGGATTGTGGTCTAAGTTTTCTTGCAGTATTAGTTTGCAGGTGAATGAAGCCAGCAGCTGGCAAAGAAATTGAATTGCACTTAACATTTCCCATGAATTACAATCGAGAGCTCAACTTATGTGTGGAGCACGGAAGCCATCTGTAATGTTGGATAGCATCACAGATGATGAGGAAGACAGCAGAAGATGAGCCCTCATCTGCTCCCTCATCACTTCGGCTATCTCCCTCATCACCAGTGATGCCATCCAACACTACAGCTGGCTTCCGTGCCGCACACGGAAGATGGGCGGGCTCTACCTTCCCTGGTTGTGCATGGGTCATTCATGGGAAATGTTGAGTGCAATTCAATCTCGTTGCCAGGTGCTGGCTTATTCACCTGCAAACCAATACCGTAAGAGAACTTTAACTATATTCCAACAAACAAAAACAATTAATAAACCAAACACCAACCTTACTCTGTTTTTTCTTGGTGGCAGGCTGTTTCTTAAAGCCAGGTTGTTTCTGCTCTCAACCAAAAGAAACACTACGTCACCAGCCGTGGATTCTGCTGGTCACCTATTCTCCCCTCTCTTTCCTCCCCACCGCCAGCTGCGCCTCTCGGAGCACATCTCCCTCCCGTGGGGCGCGCTGCTCATCTTAGTGATCTCACGTGCCACCTTAATCCTCTTCATCATCCACCCATGCTCCCCTCTCCCACTGGCCATTCTCTCCACCACCACCAGCTGCGCCCCTCGGAGCACATCTCGCTCCCCTGGGGTGCGCTGCTCATCCGCTGCGCCTTCAACGCATCAGTGGGCAGCAACAGCAGAGGCGGCGTGCTGTCAGTACTCAAGCGCTCAGAGCAGCAGCGGCAGCGCCGCAGCGTCGCCCACGAGCACTCCCATGCCGTCGGCTTCGACGTCCACGGCGCCTCCCCCCTCACCCTGCACACCGCCGCCATGCCCGTCTTCCGGGAGAAGCCCGGCGGCTTCGATATAGTCACATCCCCGCTCAAGTACAATCTCACTCACTGCAGCGGGTCGCTCTTTGGGCACATCGATCCGCGGGCGCTGGGGGATTGGATTCGGTACCACCACGGGGTGGTGGGTGTGGAGAAGTTTTTCTTGTATGATCATGGGGGGCTCACTGTCGATAATGACACGGCAGCGGTGGTGGCGCCTTATGAGGAGACGGGGGTGGTGACTGTAACGAGGATGAAGGGTGGAAGGCACTTCGTGTCGTACTATTCGCATCAGATTATGAACCAGAACGACTGTCTGTATCGCTCGAGATTCCTCACCAAGTGAGCTCTCCCACCTGCGTGTTCTGCCCTAGTTGGTATCACCATCCCACGCCACATGGCCTTGTTTCTTGTTTTCTGCCTTCTGGCTCCATCCTCGTTGCCACACTCTCTTTGCTCTTCCTGTCTTTCTCACTTCACCCGCCATGCCTTGCCCTGTCTCACCCACCCCCCTACTCCCCTTTCCTCTTCTCCCCCTCCCCTGGCCCCTCACTTCCCCTTCCCCACCCCCTCCACCCCCAGGTGGCTGCTTTACACGGACTTAGACGAGTCCATCTTCATGCCTCTCACCCGTCCGCTTCACACCCCCCTCTGCCCCCCCAACCTCTTAAATCCCCACTCCCCATCGCCAGGTGGCTGCTCTACACAGACCTCGATGAGTACATCTTCACGCCGCCGCCCGCCACCTTCCTCTCGTGGCTTGACCGCCTGCCGAGCAACTCGTCATGGGCCAGTATGGGATCATATATGCACAGCATCAACACCTGCAGCCAGCTGCACCACGGCAATGCCACTAACGAGTCGCAGCTGTTAGTGGAGCATCTGCCCTGGAGGGCTGAGATGCCTAGCTGTTCTGACCGAGCGAAGGCATTGGTGTGCCCGGGAGCGCAGGGGAGGCGGAAGCAAGTGGTGGATCCGAGGAGGGTGAACATGGTATCAGTGCACCGTGTGGAGGACCCTTGGGATGCGTATGGAGTGGACTGGAATGCCTCGTTTGCCGAGCCTTTGCCGAAGCTGATGCATTTCCAAGGGCTTCCTGTGAGGAAGCCTGTCAATGTGCGATGTAGGGATGTGAAGGAGGGGCCTCTGAAGGAGGGAGAGGTGGTGGAAGATGGGAAGGTTTTGGATTTTACGTTTCGAGATTTTGTTGCTAGTGCTTTGAATAAAGTTGGTTGATGGTGCTTCTTAAAAAATAAATGCATTCATGATCATGATACATGCGCACGTACTTTCCAACTGGAAAAAAAAAATCAATATAATATCAACAAAGCCCTGTAATCAAGGCCTACTCTATCGAAATAATATGCTATGTGTTAGAATTTGAAGTGATTGAATAGGATCGTACTACTTAGGATGGTAGCTTACTGTCGTAGCGGAAGTCTTATATGAGTTAAAGCCTGTTATGAAAGCTTTGTCTGGACTTAATAAAAGCCCATGTAGTGATACGTTTCAGGATCAATGTCTCTGAAATCAGATATATTATAAAATGACAAACATACAGAATATATAACTAGAGTAAAGTACCTGTTCGCCTACTGTACTGTGCTTTTCTTGTTCTGAAACGGTACGTAACTTTTCACGAGGTCTATAGCTACGTGCTGACGTCATCCTAGGGCGCGTAGCGCTTTGCTGACGTCAGCCTATCGGTACTTTACTGTACTAAACGAATTTCCTTGAAGTGCTTAAGTCTCGATATTATCTCAACACTCCCCTTCACTTCTAAGAGTTCGGTGTAGTTATCCGGTTGTCTCGGAAATTCCGCTGAGCTGGTTGCAGTGGTGGAATTTCTGTCGTGTCAGCTTCTTGGTAAGTGAGTCAGCTGCCATGTCACCAGTGGGACAGTAGACAAGGCGCATTCTCCCTTTGTCGATCGCATCCTTGACGAAAAAGTAACGTAGTGAAATATGTTTCGTGCGATTGACGAAGCCGGGTTTTTTGGCGATGGTAATCGCACTCTGGTTGTCGCACTGCAACGTAAACTGATTTGGCGTGACGAACTTCGCTTCGTCCAGCAGTTCCTGTAAGTATAGTCCTTCTCGTAAGGTCGGGACGGCACGTAACTGCTGCGAAGAGAAGACATCCGAGTTGCTGCTGGTACAGTTGCAGACCAGCTGCCGAAAGTTTGGTGTTGTTTAGGATGTACCCGGTGGGTGTAGACCGAAACGGTGTAGCGACGTAATTTGTAGGAATCTTGAAACGCTTAGCGAGTAACTCAGCATACTTCGATGCTATGAGGTGGATGGCGGAGGAAGTTCGCGAAATGTTTAACCCAAGAAATTGGGTTACTTCGGTGGAGACAGTTAAGTCGAGGGACTTCTTCAGATCTGCTTCGATGCGATCACCCAAGGAAGTCGAAGAACTTACGTAGAGAATATCATCCACGTAAGCCACAAGTAGCGCGTAGCTCCCCTTGTCGTTTAGTCGATACATTCCGGGGTCATGCGGCAGTTGTCGGAATCCAACCTCTGTAAGTTTCCTGTTCAAATGCTGCTGCCACAGTCGCGGAGCTTGTTTGATGCCGTACAGTGACTTCTTGAGTTTGCAGACACTTGGCGGATTTGTCGGATAGGTATGTGGATATTCGACGTAGATTTCAGCATCGACGTCAGCGTATAGAAAAGCGTTGGAGACGTCAATTTGTCGAAGCGGAAAATTCTTCGCAGCTGCTTCGCAGATGACGAGACGAACACTTGTGTGTCGGCTGACCGGGGCGAAGGTTAGCGTGTAGTCTACCCCATGAGTTTGGTCAAAACCACGAGCAACCCACCTTGCCTTCTGTTTTTCATAAGAACTGTCAGCTTTCGTCTTCACCCTGAAGACCCATTTTCCGGTAAAAATATTTTTATTTGTAGCTTTTTCGATGGGTATGAGATCCCAAGTCTCCCGTTTTTCCAAGGCAGCCAGTTCACGATCCATGGCTTCACGCCATTTTTCGCGATGTGGTCCTGAAAGGGCCTGTCGGGCAGTTTTCGGTTCTGCGACTTCTGAAGAATTATGCTTTACTGCTGCTGCAAGTCCCAGTATCTGAAGCCCAGTTTGATAATTAGGACTGTCGTCGGTCCGTCCTGCGAAATTAAAAGATTCACACTGTTCACCATTTGCCCCCCCAATTTCGTCAGGATCGACGCGGATGCTGCTGTCAGTTACAGCTGGCATGGGACGTCGTTGATCATCCACCAGGTAAGTATGATGAACTTCACGAACATCGTCGGGATGAGCGTCAACAAGAGGAATGAATTCCGGAAATCCGGAAGACGTGGTTGGAATAGGTGGATCAGGAGCGGCTTCACGTGCACCGTCAATGTCAGGTTCTTCGCTGGCAGCGAGTTCGGCGTCAGCACTGGCGAATGATCGAACACCGTGGAAAAGTGTAGCAGGGTCACGCTGCGTGGCGAGGTACTGTTCGAAGACAGGAAGGGTCAGATTTTCGTAAAAAATACAGTCGCGGGCAGGAATTAAAAGTCGACTGCGATAATCCAGAATACGCCAGGCAGAAAACTGCTTCTCAAGACTGAGATGAAGACCCCACTTAGCACGTTGATCGAACTTCCCGAGCGGAGCAGTGGGAGGACGATATTGCACAACACACCCAAAAACTCGAAGAAGTTTCGTAGTGCCCAATTTTCCTGTCCACAACAAGTGAGGTGATGCGTTGTTTGGTAAAGCTGATGAAGCCAGGAGGTTGTGCAACAGCGTTGCGTGGTCCATCGCGAAGGGCCAGTAGAGGGGGCCGAGTTGGGACTGTGCAAGTAGTGCTCGCATCTTTTCTTGCAAAGTACGATTGAGGCGTTCAGCTACACTGCTCTGCTGGTGAGCGTGAGGAAGTGAGAACAAGCGCCGTATGCCTCTCTCTTGCAGGTACGCTGTAAACTCGAGGCTGCGATATTCCCCAGCTCCGTCACACTGGAAGCTTTTGAGTTTTGTGTCGGACTCGCGTTCTGCGAGAGGTAGCCATGTCTGAAACGCTGTGAAAGCAAGAAAACGATTAGTCATGTTACCAGTCCAAACGTATCGAGTAGAAGCTTCAGTGAACGTGATAACGTATTTCTCGCCGTTGAAACCTTCCGCATGTAAGTTTAGAATATCACTGTAAACTTTTTCCATCAATCGATAATCCTCAGCGCCAGGAAAATGAGTCGGGTACGGTTCGTGCGGTAGATTTGCTGCTGGGCAGATCAAGCAGGGTGATGGACGATTAACCGGTTTCATTTCGATGCCGCCAGGTAAGAGAAGAGAATTCTTGTCGAGAACAGCTGCTTTGATTGTGTTGTTGAGCGTAGACTGCGACGGATGACCAAGACGCTTATGCCAGGTGTCTGCAGTTGCTTTGTGTCCTTGTGCGTGCAGATAATAGTCGGCGTTAGCGAAGAAAGACAACAGCAACCGATGACCGTCAGCGTGAACATGATCTGTGACTGGCGGAATAAACCTGGTAAGGTTAGGTGGCGGAATTTTGATTTCAACGTCGATGGATTCGCCTGGTGAAAGAACTAATTCCCCGCTCTCTTGATCTGATGCTGCAGGTTTAGGTTCAACACCGACAAGTCGTCCGGAGCCGAGAACGTCCATGTCAGCGACACGCTGCTCTGCTTCTGTGAGAAGACGTTGGTCACGAGCAGCAGTTGTTTCTCCCCAAGTAGTCTCGTCAGGTTCCTGTGCCCCCCAAGTGCCTTCACCCGTGGGCATATTCGTCGTATCTCCCCAACCAGCAACGTGAGCAAGATAATCTCGGGAGTTTTGGACGTTGTTTAAGCCTTGGTTGTCGAAGGTCAGCATGACAGCGGCAGCTGTGGTTGAAGATGTGGGTACAACGCCATCACGAGGAACGGTATCATCGGTGTAATCGATGTCGTCACGATGTTCCCATGGGCCAAGAGAGAGAATATTCTCGGAGTCGGCAGTGGTGCGTTCAGGTACGAAGTTGAGAACAAATACACCGTTCTGTTCAATCGCCGTACCGAGTTTCCTGTCTCCATACTTCAAAGTAAACTTGCCCGGTTCACCAAGAAGAGTAATGCCATTCCTCATGAGCTGTGCTGATGACATCAGATTGAAGCCAAGTCGAGGAACGAGGAGTACATCGTTAAGATGAAGACTGAAGTCTTCTTCAACAGAATCAAGAATGATGTTACCCATCCAGTGTGCTGTAAGACGTTGGTTGTTGGCGACGGTTACAACGCACGGATTCTGAAGACGACGCTGATTGATGACGAAGCGATTTTCTGATGAACACATATGCTGCCCGCAACAACTGTCAAGATACCAAGTGTTGGGACCTTCCAAGGTATGTGCAAGGTTGGCGTAGACCTCGGGTGGTATGGGCGTATTGATTTCATCATTGAAGTTATTGTGAATACGTTCCTCAGCGTCAGGATCGTAGACTGTAGAAACTGACGTCATACAATTAATAACTTCTTTCGCTTGTGTCTTGGCAGGTGTAGTAGGCGGCTTCGCAGAGTTCGGCTTCGCAGTATTCTGCTTCAGAGCTTCCTGCTTCTCAGCTTCCTGCTTCTCAGCTTCACCTGAAGAATCTTTGGGATGTTTCGGTGTAGTCCGCTTCCAAGATGGTTTATCTTTCGACCAGCAGGTATCAATAGTATGTCCTGCTTTGCGACAAAAGGAACAAACGGGTTTGTGATGTGGATTATAATAAAAACTGACTGTGTTGTTTACCACCTTTTTTCCTCCTCGAGCGTTGTGCAGGTCCATATCCTGCTGCTCGGCGATGAGAGCGGCACAGAGTTGTCAGATATATATGACATAGCTACTGTAGGCTATAGTGTACAGTTGTCTAGGGTTTGCATTTGTACCCAACTTTCCCTTAGTCAATTCATTCTCGTTCAGTTTCTCATGGTATCGAGCAGGTTCCCCTGTGGGAACTGTTCCTAGGGCCCACCACCTTTTTTTTTTTTCCTGCCCGGAGCGCGCTCTACACTGCCCGAGTCGCGCTCCCCTCTCTCGACCCTGTCGCGCCGCCTTAGCGGCCCCGTCGCGTCGCGCTTGCGGCCCCGTCGCGTCGCCCTTGCGGCCCCTTCACGTCGCGCCGCCCTAGTGGCCCATCGCGCCGCCCTCGCGGCCCCGATCCGCCGCCCTCGCGGCTCCGTCGCGTCGCGCCGCCCTCGCGGCCCTTTCACGCCGCCCTCGCGGCCCTTTCTAGCCGCCCTCGCGGCCTCTTC